GTCATCTCAGCCGGAGTCGAACCTCTAACGGCGAGAGAATACAAACGCCATTTCAGCCAACGCCATCACAATAAACGTCATCTCCGCTGGAGTCGAACCTCTAACGGCGAGAATACGAACGCCATTTCAGAAAACGCCAGCATAGATAAATGAATTCGGCCCCGTCGTTGATAAGTGAACTCGGACCCATCATTGGTGAGTGAACTCGACTCCATCGTTGGCAAGCGAACTTGGCGCTGTCGTTGGTAAGTGAACTCGGCCCCGGTATTTATAAGTGAGGTCGGGGACGACCGAATGATGAATCGGCCTAGTAGAACTGGAAGAGGGATCACGATTGGAAGAGGGATCCAACCCATATTTTCGGTACAAATCCATTCATGCAGATTGAACGGAGTATACAATTTAGTATACGGTTCACCCCATGTTGCTGACATTTTCGAGCATCAAAAAGTAGATTTTTCAAATATTTAATTTGATGTGTCTACTGTTAATATAAAATAAAAATAAATAGGAATAATAATAGGCATATAGATAGAATAATTACACCAATTGTAGATGTTAGTCTAATATAAATTCCAATTTTATTAATATTTATACTACTCCTTCCTTCCCACATAAATAAGTATATGATAATTTTAGCAATAATTAAAGAAAACACAATGGATTACTGAAGATGTAAACTATTTTACAAATCATTTTAAATGAAGTTGGTGTAGACCGTTACATTTTTTATTTTTTTTTTAGCCAGCCACGGTTCCGAAGCTATGCTCCGATTAATCCGTTGGTCGACTCGGGTCGCACACCTGGCAGTGGTGGGTGAGTCTCCCAACAAGAATAAGTGAATAACGATTTGTCGAGATCAATATTAAAATCGATAAGAATTTTTGTTTTATTTGAGAAATTATTTTTTTTTTTTTTTTACTTTTTTAAGTTAGATAGTTATATTATTATTATTATCTCAATTCTCAATAATATTTTATCAAACGAACAAACACGCTCACCTTTCAAGCATACGACATTATCAAACATGTGATGGTATGAATTGTGATTTTTAATTTGGAAAAAAGTACGTGAAAAAAGTAGGCAAAATTTAAAAAATGGTCCATTATGTTGGATCAATTTTAGTCCACTATGTTGGCATTTGTACGAGTTTTGATTAAAAGTGACAATTTAGTGGATCATTATTGATGACACCCTATATGATGGACCTTTTTCGGAAAATGGTCAACATAGTGAACTAAAAATGAAATTTAGCCGAAAAAAGTACGCTAACAGTTGAGCCCAATACCAGCTGCCTCATGTTCTTTGTTCACACCATTTCATAACTATAAGTTGTCTAATTGCACAATAAAAACGACTAATAAAGACATTTTGCAACGCTTGTTCTTAAAAAATAGACACATACTAATACAACTCTATGACAATTTCGAATTCTTTGTAGTACTAAATCATTACCAATTTTCCACCGTCTATAATTTATTATCTTTTTATCACAAATTCTTGTGTAAGGCGATCTAATCGTTAGACTGATCGATAAGAATATGTTTGAGCTAGATTAACAACGCCTGCTATAATAAATGAATCGAGATTGAACGATATCCAATTCATTAGCTCGTGAACTTGGTGGGTAAATGATTCGCGGCTAACTTGTATAATTTCAGTTAATATTACATGAAACTTAAATAAACTTACCTAACTTTTTTTCGAAAATCTCAAACACATCGTAGGTTCTCCAAATTTATATAGACATAAATTAATCTACTAGGCTCGTTCATAATTTAACATATCGAAGAACTACCAATTTACATTATATAATTCACCCCATTTCACGCCTAACGCCTATACATCCAATGGTAAAATTGTAATCAAACTTTTTACCGCATCTCTCTAACCCCCTCTCTGTCCACTTTTCAGTTTCCGTACAAATACACCCCAAAGCCTCTCTCTGCCGCCGTCCTTCTCCTGTCGACGACCGCAACTTCTCTTTTCTGGCCATGGTCGAGGTTGGAAGTTTCTTTCCCGCCACTATTTTCCACCCTCGCGTGGAGAGGTTTTGCAGCGGCACCGCTGCATCTCCCTCTCTCCTCCGACCTCATCCTAATATGGAGTTGTCATTTGGTCTTCTCTTAGTGGAGGTGTCTGATGGTTGAGTGCCATTTCACGACCTTGGCCATGGCGGTATGTCCCTCCGATGCTATCTTTCGTGGCGACTTGCCCCCTCCTCGTAGTTGAAGATCATTGGAGCCTCATCTGGACCGAGAATCGCCTCCTCGTCAGATATGTCTAGTGGATTCGAGTTTGGCCGCAGTTTTTTGGTTTAGGAGTTGGCTTTTATGGTTGGGAAGACTTCCCAAGAGGTCCTACGTAAATGTCCGGTTGCTTCAACAATTCTTTGTTGGTTTGCAGTTCTGTTGGGATTCAGTGTTGTAGGGTGTGGCTCGTGTGTCAGTTTGGGTAGTCATGCAGTTAGTCTGCTTTGTATATGGAAGCCTTATTTTATTTGTTTATTCGGTGTGCATTTGTTTTGTCTTTCTCTATTTTTCGTTTTGTTAGTCTAGCGCGTTTGACTTTTGGTCTCCTATTCATAGTTTGTGTCTACTTTATAGAATTTTGTTTTGTGGTTGTTTGTGTCTTCTTGATGGAGTTTGCACCCCTTTGGTCACATGTGTAATTTCAATTTGGTTCAGACTTTATTCTAGTTTTAGTGGTGTCTGTTGACACATTGGTTGTATTCTTTTTAGTTTCATTTATTAATATAATCACCATTTGGAAGAAAAAAAAATGACTTTGCTCAAAACTCTTGCTTCATTGTGGTTATTATTACACCATTTTTTGTTCAGATTTTATCTGATTTTAATGGTGTTTATAGTTTATTAACACATCGATTGTACTCTTTTGAGATTTTATTTATTACTATAACTATCGTTTGAAAAAAAAAAATAAAAAAAAACTTGCTCAAAACTCTTTATTTCATTGTCGTTATTATTGTTACTAGTTATTCCTCATACCACTAATTGCACCCTATTTAGCTATTCAATCTCCTTTCATTGTACATGGCTTTTTGGAATCAAATTAAATAATTAAAAAGTTCAAAAAGTGAATTTGTAACTGCATAATTTGTGGGTAGAATCTTAATTTACTACAACTATTTTTTTGTCCATACCTATTTGGGTTGATGGAATATACCTACCTGGCTACCCATTGAAATAAGTAATCGCGTGTCAATGTGGGAAGAAGAGCTTGTTGCCAACACGTCAACTTTTCTTCTATTTATGAATAGACGTGGCCAGGTGCCGGGTCCGGGCCCGGCCCGGCCCGGCCCGCCGGGCCACG